ATATTAGTGTTGTTTGCTTTTGAGCTCCCTTCTTTCATGCCTTTCTTCTCCTTTTTCTGAGTTTTGAGATATTGTTTCATTGTGAAGCTAAGGTGAGCCTAGAACTTGTGAACCTCTAGACTTTGCTTTCCTGACTGCTACAGTTCCCCTCTGGCTTTCTTGGTCTTGTACACTCTATAACTATAATTAGAATCATATTTTGACTCCTTTTTTATTGCACATATTTGTCTGTAATTTATGTACAATGTATGAAACAATAGAGAATCACAGTTTATTTTTCATGTTAAATAAGTTTGGGTGGTTTATCTTTAGAGTATTAATTTTCTTTCTAGAGGATGAAGAGATGGCCTGTTGGTTAAGAGCACTTGATTCTTTTGCAGAGGACTTGAGTTTGATTCCCAGAACCCACATCAGGTAGCTCACAACCATCTGTAACCAAAATTTCAGAGCATCCGACATCCTCTTCCAGCTTCCACAGGCACTAAAATGATATGTGATACACATACATATACATAGGCACTAAATCATACATGTTAAATAATAAAACAATATTTTAGTAGTTATAGTTCACAAAATTTTTGCAAGTTACTTGGTGTATATATATTAGCATATATTTTGGCTTAACATCTAGGAGTGAAATAATGGGTTATACGAAATACTTTATGGAATTTTCAGTACCCAGTATTTGACCAGAGTACATTTAAAATCAGCAATGCTTTCGAATTCCAGTGGCAACAGAACACTTGGTAGTACCTGTGGGAGCTGAGAAAATCATGTGTGAATGTGCATTGTTTGAAGAAGCTCAGAGGGAAGGCAAAGTCTTTCTCTGCCAAGTGTGAATCTTGGCAGCATGCAAAAAGCATAGCAACTGCTGATGCTTCTTCCTGTATGCTTGAAGCCTGAGGCTGCTCCCCTAGGGACCTCCCTCCTTACCTAGACCAGCTAACCTCTTTCCCGTTCCTATATGTAAGAAGCCATGCTAAGCTTCTCCTTTTGTGTGATTGGTGCCCCTCCATCAAAGTGAGCATAACCCACCCAATTTTAGCTTTTCTGTACATGGATCTTTTCTGAACATGTCATTTCTTCATTTCCTCACTGCCTGAGTCAAATTTCCAGGACCAAGCCATGGAGAATTCGACAAAGACCATGCTGTGAATCTTTTTCAAGTCAGCCATTCTTGTTCTTGTGTAGTAGTTGCTCACTGGTGATTATTTACTCTTTACTGGAAGTAATTATAAGGTGACTACACATCCTGAAAATTCACATGTGTGTGTGTGTGTGTGTGTGTGTGTGTGTGTGTGTGTGTGTCAGTTTCTAGTCTTTTTTAACATAGTTTTTTTGTTTTCTTTAATTATAAGAACTTACTACATTTTTTCAGACAAGTGCTCTTTAACACACACACTACAAATACTTTCAAGTATTTCTCCTAAAAATACTTTAAATTTAATGCCACACAAAGTTACCAAGCTTTTCCTTCAGAATTAAGTCCTTCTCAAAGTTAATTTTCTTAAAAAAAGTAAGTCTGTCTACTTCTGGACCACAAAATTGTTTGCATGTTGTTTCCTTGAAGCTGTGCCATTCACTTTTATATTAAGTTCTCTGAGTCATCTGATTTGAATTTTGTGTGCTGTACGAGGCAGGCTTTAGCATTTATTTTCTAGGTGGAGAATCCACTAAGCACCATTTATTTTGCTGAGTTTGTTTTACTGTAGCAGTAATTTTACCTTCACTTACGTGTGTGTAGGGTCAAAAGTCGGTGTTTTCTCCAATTCTGCTGCTATTTTTGTGTGATCTACTCTGGGCTATATTGTTTTTATTATTCAGCTTTATTATTATTTCTGACATGTAGCAGCATAATTCTTAAACACATGTGTTCTTTAATTGCCTTTGTGATTCTTAGTCCTTTGAATTCCCGATTACTTTTAGAACCAACTGGAGAACTAGCACAAAAAACGTCTGTCAAGACTTCAGTTCAAATTGCAATGACGCTAAAGATCAATTTTGGGGGATTCAATATACACAATCTTGAGTCTTCCAGTCAATGAAGATGGTATATTTTTAAAAAATATAGTGTATGTATATATATTATAGATGATATATAAAATGTTTTTTGAAACAATATTTTTGGCACATAAAAATGTTTTTATAAAGTGATCTCATAGCTAGGGACCTGGATTCACAATATTCAAGTAAGATTTTAGTGTAACTTCCAGATATAGAAATAAGTCAGTGAAGACATTGTTTATGTTTTGCAAACTTTTAGACTCATGTCACCTCTTCTTGCTTTAGTGTCCCAGCTCCGTCCTCTAGCATAACATTGAGAAGACATGGTAATATCAGTATCTGGTTTTTACCTTGATTCAGAGAAAATTTTCACTATTTTGCAATTAAGGTTGAAGTCCACTGTGGCTCTTTTTCATGTGTTTATAGGTGGTTTATTTTGGAGCTTACAACTTTCTGCTTCTACTTTGCTTGGAGTTTTAAACTGAGTGGTTACTAGAGTTTATAAAGTTTTGTCTGTATCTGATTCATCACAATATTTTTATTCTTTCATTCATAATGTTATGATCATTTTGGATGGTAAACTAACTTTATGGCTGGAGAAACTGCACAGTGAATGAAGTCGACATTAAGCCCAAACTCAGAGTTTATCCCTTGTGGAAGAGGAGAAACATATTTCCCTTGTATTTGACACTGAATTGTTTTCATGCCAAGATGGGCAGTTGGTTTATAATCTTTCTATATTCTAATGTTTTGATCACTTGCTGGCATCACGTTCTCGGCAGCCTGTGAAACAATTTGGGGCACTTTCCTCTGCCCTGCTCTCTGGGTCAGCTTTTGAAAATCCACTTCTTTCTGAGACACTGAAAGGACTCACCAGTGAAATCTCCATTTTTTTTTTTTTGGTGGGGGATTTTTTTCATCATTATCAATACAATTTTCAACAGATAAAATCGTTATTGTTTCTATTTCTTATTGAACCAACTGTGTACTCAAGGATTTGCTTTTTACTTAGATTAAAAAGGAGAAAATATAGCACAGAACATTTGAATTCAACTAAGGCTTTTGTTTTTGTTTTTTGTTTTTGTTTTTTTTGAAAGAAGTTGTCATGAGTTTTCATAAAGAAAAAAGTGGACCAGGAGAAAGACCTTTCTCAAATCTCCCTGGAATAAAGCAGTGTCCAAATAAACAGTGGCAGCTGGTTAAAGAGTGCTTAATAGTTAGCTTTTGACACTGAACAAAACATCTTAAGTACAGTGACCACTTATTTTTCACTCAAAGTTTGAGCTTAGGAAACAAACCTAAGTCTGGGCTCACTTGTCTGGGCTCCTATTGGCTCTAGACTCTGTATGTGTGGCTGGTTGGGCTGGCCGGGTCTGATTGGCTCGTAGATGGGAGGTTAGTGGTTTTACATCAATGTCCAAATGCTAATCTCTGTGAACTTTCATCCCCTGGAAATCTTGTCTGAGCTTGTCCTCCGAGCAGTCACTGAGGTCCAAAGAAGGCAGAGCAAGTACGCAGCACTAAAGTAACTTTTAATTGTCTCGTTGTAGACAAGCTAGGACCATCATCTGTACCTGGGCACTGGGCAGCTATGAATGCAGAATTCTGTAGGTTTACATTAGAAACCGTCCTTTTAGAGCTCGTTTTCTCTTAAATAGACAGCGATGCTGGGGATCAGGTGATTTGTGTCCCTAATTAGTAGCTATTGGACATTCTCTTGCTCCTGAAGCTGCCTTGAACAAGAGGACCATCAATGTAACAGCCAGTCAGGTTCCCGTTTTGCCAGTATATTTGTCTGGAACACTCCACCAATGCTTCGAATCATCCACACAGGAGATTGCTGCTGATTGCTCTGGCTCCTGAAGTTACAGCCCCAGCCAAGGTTGTTTGATACACTTTGTACCAGAATGCTGGAATCATAAACCAAAAGGTTTTAAGTTTGGGGTTCAATGGTAGCACGGAGGCAGATTGTACTTTTGGGTAAGAGACTTATTAGAAGAACTACTAATTCCTTGGATCTACAGTCAGACAGACAGGCAGTAGAATGACATGGGAGACTCTGATGAGACAGAGTTGATGCCCTTTTTTTATTTAAAGATGTGTGTGTGTGTGTGTGTGTGTGTGTGTATACTTGCAAGTGAGTGTAGGTCTCACTCAGAGACCAGGCTAGTTGGTACCCCTGGAACTGGAGTCACAGGCAGTGTGTAGCTGAGATGTGGGTGCTAGAAACCCACTTTTGAGTCCTTTAGAAGTGCTCTTCTCCAGCTGTCCTGCCCTTTCTTGCAGTTCTCAGAGGAAGGTGAGATTTCATGCCAAATAATTAGTGACTGGCCCACAGAAGGGGCCTGCAGTCAGCTGGTCTCTGATTCACTAATGGTGGGAGAGGAAAGGAGAGATGACTGAGTATTAGGAAGAAGGGGCGCATCTCGTTAGGGTGTCCACACTATTAAGGTAATTCTCTGCTGTCCTTGTGCTCTGCTGGTTCGATCCTATAAATTTCTCTGGGCAAGTGAGAAAGATGTCTGATGTTCTTCTGGGATCTGGGCAATGCAGTCTGTTCGAAGGAGGGTCACAATTCACAGACAGAGTCTCCTTATGGGGCTTGTTATTTTCTTTACTGCAGCTGTAAGAAAGGTGGCTGAAGGGGGAGGTACCCTGATCAGCTCCTATCCCCAAAGCCAACACAAGCAGCAGTGAACACTATACACCTGGATCAGAAGGGGAGCACACCCCCTGATGGAAGAACTACAGTGATTGGTGTGAAGGGCAGAGGATGTGATTGGTCCAGGATGCGAGCCTTCATGACTATGGTTGATCTAAAACAAAAGGCTGTGATTGGTTTGTGCAAACATGCATCCTTTGGGCTATTAAGCAGGCTGGGTCGTTTCTGTCAATGAACTGGAAGGAAGATGCTATCAGTGCTAATTCTCCTAGTGTCATAACTTCAGATCCAACAAAAAATTTCTCTTCGATGGTCTTTTCTTGTTTATTTTCAGTAGTGCAAGCTGCACTGATACGACAAAAAAGGACAGCATGAGAGATGGGGATGGAAGAAAGTTGTCTCTGTGAGTGGGTCCAAACAACAGTGCTCATCTGGAGCTGCTGTTGATCAGGACACAACCAGAAGGAGTGCCTCCCAAAGTCCAGACGACTATCTACAGCTAAAGAAAACCCTACAACCTCTGACAAGCTTGAAGCTGAAGACCCAGAGAGTACAGCAGACCCAATCCTGTGGGTGCCTCGTGTACCATCTAGTGGTTTGACAGCTGAAGATTCCATGGGCATCAGATGAGGGTCTTACTAGAACCAGACATGTCTTTGGTGTCCCTGAAGGCCTGATATTTCCATGTTTCTGATCTCTGATGCCCAGACTCCGGAACAGCTTAAGTGTACATTTGTGAGTCCTGTGCCTCTGGTTTCTGAGTACAGAGTATCTGCAACTGGTTCTTGATAGGTGATTCGGGTTTGGTTGCTTTTAGAGCATATCCAATAACTGGTATCTGTTTTCCAATGTCATGCAGGACCTTCATGGATCCCTGTTACTCTCTTTCCAGTGCAGAGCACTGCCAGTCTCCTCTTGACTGCTGAAGAAGTGCCTTATTTGACTGCTGCAGTCAGCACAGGCCTCAGGCCAGCCCAGTGCTGCACCCACGGACCTAAGTCCACTTGGCAGCTCTAGTGTGGCACCTGCTGCCACTGACCACCTACTGATTTTGCCTGAGGATCCCATCCACCTACCAGGATCCGGCCTCTGGTGGGAAGAGATGTCTGCTGTCTGGATGGTCACAGCACTGACATTATTCAGCTCCCTGTTCCAGCTCCTGAAAGCTGTCCTGACAAAGGCAGTCACCCACAGTTTTCCTGACAGACAGCACTGACAACTGAAGGAGCAACTAAGCAGGTTAGAGCAGAGGGCCAGGAAGAAGGGTCATAGAAGAAGATACATGATGAACAAAAGTGGAGAACAGACAAAATGCTACAGAAACCAAAGGAAAGAACCTGTAGCCCCTCCAGAGAGTAGCAACAGCTCTCAGCCTGGTCTCTGAGACCCTCAACCCTGACAGCTGTAATATTGGGCACTGAGAAGGGCCAAGGGTCCTAATAAATGAGGTTGCAGGAAGACTATAACACTAATGGGTACCGAGGCCCACTGGTTTTACATAACTTTTGCTGCCACCCACACTGCCAAACACTGAGGGGGAACAAAGGCTGCTATAGCTGAGCATTTGAGGGGTTCCCTGTCTATCCATGATTTCTACTCAAGTGGAACCTGCAGCCAGATCATTAGTGATACTTGTGTTAATGGTGTTCAGTTTCTCCTAACCCAATGGCCAATAGTCAAACCAAGCCCAGCCTTGGCATGGGCAGTAGCTGAAAGGCTGTGGCAAAGCCTTTGCTGTTGGCAAAGTGATCTGCCAACCAGTGTTTGAGAGATAGTTGAAGCTCTACTTCCTTCAGAGGCAAAGATGAGTTATAACCAGCTATAACTCAAGATAATTTAACCACACTCAAAAATCACCCACATGATTACCCGTGGCACTAAAGAACAAATTTGGGTGTGGCTGAAAGAAGACACTCTACATCCCAATGAAAAATGAATTTAAGTCAAAATATGTGATAAGAGATGATAATTTATGCAAATTATTCAAGACTTAATTTTAGCAAAAGGAGATGGTTGGTCTAGGTCTTTGGGGGGCTTGGAAAGAAAGAGAAAGTTAAGTATATCAGCAATGTATGTATTCAGAGGAAAGTAGGAAGGGCTGCAGGGGGCAGGAGGCAGGGAGGGCCTCATGATGGAAAAGGGAATGGAAGTCACATACACACACACATGCATGCACACACATATGGGTACACATATGCACATATGTGTATACAAATGCACACATGTATGCACAACACGCATATACACATACATTCAAATACACCCTCACACACAGTATAGATGTTTAAATGCTGCTAATCACTATTTTAGAAGGCATATGATTTTCAGACTTTGTTTTTTTTTTTAAACGAGTTTGTATCTTCTAAATTGTTAAAGAAAAAGGAAAAAAAAAGTATTAAAAGGATTTTTGGAAAAATAGAAGAAGAGAATCTTTTTCCCCCCCCAGAGTGTGATATTAGATTTCATTTCTCCTCACAATGTGTTAAAAGTTTCAAAAGTGGCTCTCAGCCCTTTTAATTGCTGGCTACATAATGGATCTACAACAGTATGTATGCCACATTCGGGGGTTGGGGGTCACCGAACTGTGCCCTGAGGCAGAGGTAGTGGTCTCTTGAGGATAAAGGGAGAAACCTCCAGAAGGGCATGTGATTTGTATTGCTACTTGAGCAGCTGTGGGCCTAGGGCAGCATCACTGGGACCCACAGGCCTAATGAATCAAGCTCTGGAGTTTGCTTTTGGAGATCATGTTTTTGAAACACTCTAGCTGACTCTGTTGCTTTTGAATTATGAGACCACAGAGTTATGGATGCACAGACAATGCAAAAAAAAATAAGGTGAGGTCAAAGGGGAAGAAGTGTTTTTTTTTTTTTCTCTTTTCTACATCAGAGACTCATGTGTCCAACAGTTACTAGCTATTTTATGTTTCATGATTTCGAGTGACCAATGGATCTTAGCATTTTTATCACAAAGCTGTTTTGTTCTTCCCACTCTCCTGTCTAGAGCAGGATGTCTCAGCATGGCACTGTAGGCAGCTTGTGCCAGATAATTTGTCATGGGAGGCGATCCTGTTTGCAGTAGGGCTTTAGCAGCCTCCTAGGCTTCTACCCACTTGATGCTATTAGCATTCTCTCATTAGCAACAACCAAATATTATGTAGGCACAGTCAAATGTCCCCTAGGAGGCAAAATCATCCCAGTTGAAAACCACCAGTTGGAAAAAAATCAAAACTCAAGTAAGGCATACTTATTAAGTAATAGTATATTTCCTTGTTTTTATTAATACAAACATATATAACTGTCAGTTAGAACATGGAAGGATAGGGTTTCTTGGCTCCATGTGGTTAGTCTCTAATATGTTGATCAAGAGTGGTGGTAACAGTTCTTTAAAATTTTTGTTTTGTTTCTGTCATAAGGAATCATAGATAATCTATTTGTTATTCAAATATTAAATATAATGTAGTATAGAAAGTGTGCAGCAATTTGGTGAAGAGTATTCAATAAAACATACTGCTATAATCCATGTTGGTTCTTCTCAATTTTAGTAAAAATCAAAATGTCAAGAAATGTCCATTATTTTCAACAGTGTTGTAGATAAAGATCTAATTTCAATTGTGCTCTTGAAATATTTGAAACAGATAAGTTATATGACTGCCTTTTACCACAGAATTTTAGGTGTCTGTGATCCCAGAGCAGAAAACCAACATCTCCTTTTAAGATCTCTTCTAAGTTCATCAGTCTTGGAGTCTATTTGCATCTATCTCTAAGATCTCAAATTTCTTCTGATCTCATGAAAGTCATAAATGCTTTCCTTAGAAAAATACACGTGTGCATACCATTTTCCAGGTTCAGAAGGTTTTCAGAGTTCTGGAAACCCATGTCTAAGTCTCAGGCTGAAACACCGAAATAAATATGTCAACAGAATAGAATTTATTTACAGCCAGGGAAGTAGGCAGGGAAGACTGACAAGATCTATGCAAAAAGACAATTGAGGTTGACACAGCGAGAGTGAAGATGCCACTCTTCAACCCTGAACTAGTAAATGCTGGAATGAACATTTTAACATTAGTTTGGTGTGGCAATAAAGGAGAGAGGCTGTGACAGAATTCTATTAGAATAGCAAGAAATAAAACAAACAAACAAACAAAAACCCCAAACATGTAAAAAGGGACACCTAAGAGGAGGCAAACCATGTTCTGTGGAGGACAAGCAAAGATAAAAGTGGGTGCTACTGGACTAGGACCAGAAAATGAAATTTTAAATGCATTCAAGGAGACAGCATTGTCAGTATACCATAGGAGAGGCTCTATGCATACTTTTGTGGAAGTGAGGCATGCCAACTGCCCCAGAGAGACAACTGCTCATTAACTAGTTGCTGCTTTCAATAACCACACTGAATGAAGATGTTGACAGGGTTATGTCATCAACAAAGAAGGGACTGCAGAGTTAGTAACATGCTTGCCACACAAGTGTGAGTACCTCATTTTGGGTCCCTAAACCTACATATGAAGCCAGGTACAGTGGTGCACACCTGTAATATCAGTGTTGTGGAGGCACAGACAGATCTCTGAAGCTTGCTAGCTAGCCAGTCCAGTCAAATGAATGAGCTCCAAATTCAATCAAAGGTCCTGTCTCAAAAAATTAACATGGACACCAATTGAGGAAGATACCTCATATTGGCTATGGCTTCCTTACAACTCATGTGAATGTGACCACACATAAACATCTCCGCACACATAGAAAAAATTTAAAGTAACAACAGGAGGCTGGAGAGATGGCTTAGCAGGCAAGAGCACATACTGCCTCTTGCAGAAAACTGGAGTTTGGTCTAGGTGCTGCTCCAAATGATATGACAGATTCTGAAGATTCCCTTAGGGAAGGCCTCACCCTCCCTGGGGAGGAGAAAGGGATTGGGATGGGGGAACAGGGGAGGAGGGGAGGGAGAGGGAACTGGGATTGACATATAAAGAAGCTTGTTTCTAATTTAAAATTGGTCTAGTTACAATTATAAAAATAAAAAAATAAAAAAGAAAGCTAAAGCTAAGATTTTTATACTTGGCTCATATTGGTATACTGACACCAGCATACTGTAGCAAGTTATGAAGAAATAATGTAATAGATATAAAAAGTTACTTGCACAAGATGGTGATTTATGAATTGATGCTTAAGGGTTTTACATCTGTAGCATTTTGACCTGCAACACAGGCACACATACATACATCTAATGAATAAAACGGTAGTAATGGGTTCCAAAAGGGTGGGGATTATATGCACTGTTACCAGGGTTCTAACAGAGCAGTCTGTTCTAACACTTTCATGCTCTAGGAGTGAGTAGTGTGAGTGACTATCAAGGTGGAGAGTTTGCTGTGACT